AATATACAAATTGACCATCACTCTGACACAAATATGGTGGTGCCCATAGCAGAGGCAGGGGTTTCCGTAACACAAGATGGCTGCACCCACAGCGGAGGCCCGTAACTAGCCTTAATGAGCAATCAGCAGGAGGACCTGAGACAGCGCCCCCCCCCATGGGGCTTGAAAGGGGACCTCAGTCCATGCCCCCCCTTCCCCCTCCGCCACCGGGCAGGGTTTGACAGAGGACCTCAAGGTGCACCCCCTTGCCCCAGTGCTGGGCCAGGGGACCTCAGGTCATGCCCCCCACCCAGCAGGGCTTGATGGGGGACCTCAGGCTGTGCTCCCTGCCCTGTGGGGCTTTACTGGGCCTCTGAGGTTGCACCCCCACCCGGCACCGGGCCAGTGGACCTGAGGCTGCGCCTAGTGGGGCTTGAGAGTGGGGCCAGGTGGATCTGGGTTTCACATGATTTTGAGGTGCTGCAGGTGGGCACGGACTTGACTCTGGGTACCACGGGGTGCCCCAGACTCTGAGAGGAGGAAGGTTTTCATATACATTTTACTAATTTTCTTTCATCTCTGATACTTCTATTATAGAGAAAGGTCAAATAGAAATATTAAAATATTTCCTCTAATTAGTCCCCTTTTATTTATTTATTTTTAAATACATTTTATTGATTTTTTACAGAGAGGAAGGGAGAGAGATAGAGAGCTAGAAAAGTCGATGAGAGAGAAACATCGACCAGCTGCCTCCTGCACACCCCCAACCGGGGATGTGCCCGCAACCAATGCACATGCCCTTGACCGGAATCGAACCTGGGACCGTTCAGTTCGCAGACCAACGCTCTACCACTGAGCCAAACCGGCTTCGGCTAATTAATCCCCTTTTAATGTGCATAAAATTACCTAGTGTGCTATATTCCTCAATTTGCAGAATAAAACCCTCCAAGTGATCTGCTCCATTTTTTGGTCGTCACAAAGAATAATTTTGGTCTAGACAAGTGGTTCTCAACCTTTCTAATGCTGCGACCCTTTAATACAGTTCCTCATGTTGTGGTGTGCCCCAACCATAAAATTATTTTTGTTGCTACTTCATAACTATAATTTTGCTACTGTTATGAATTGTAATGTAAATATCTGTGTTTTCCGATGGTCTTAGGCTCTACAGCAGTGGTTCTCAACCTGTGGGTTGTGACAGGGTGGCCTAAGATCATTGGAAAACACAGATATTTACATTACAATTCATAATAGAGGAAACATATTAAAGGGTCACAGCATTAGAAAGGTTGAGAACCACTGATCTAGACTATTCTCAATCTAAACCCTGTTATAAATAAAATAGGGTAGCCCTGGCCAGGTGGCTTAGCTGTTGGAGCATCATCCTATACACCAAAAAAATTGCAGGTTCAATTCCCAGTCAGGGCACATACCTGGGTTACAGGTTTGATGCCCGGTTGGGGTACATACAGAAGGCAGCCAATCAATCTCTGTCTGTCTCTCTCTCTCTCTAAAAAAAGATAGGATTATGGATCAAAAATGCACTATTTTATCAATTCTGTGAAAATTATTGACAGTGTAAGATAAATCTGGTTAGTACAGAATTAATTTCTAGCATTACCATCCTGAAATTTAGAAGTCATAATATCCACATAATGCATATTTGATGTTTCACATTAATTTGCAAAACTCCAGAAGTTTGCTCTTAGTTCAAATATATCCAAACTCATCGTGGCAGTTAATGATAATTACGAGCAGCATGTGTTATATTAAGCATATCTGGGGACAATTTCATTGAAGTGAGGTTGGATATGTTACTTCACCAATTTATGTCACCAAGGTCATACTAGCGAGTGTTTACCTACATCATAAAGTACCTATTATATAACTTTGGGACAGTTACAATCAATAATGTCTGCAAAATATTTACCTCAATGTCTGACTAAATAATCTATAATAATAAGAGCATAATATGCTAATTAGACCGGACATACTTCTGGACGAAGTCAGGGCTGCAAGGACCAAGGCTTGGCTGCGAGGGCCAAGCTCCTTGTACAAATTTCATGCATCAGGCCTCTAGTTATAAATAATTAGTCACAACTGTCACTACTAACCTAAAAGTAGAGATGTTAAGAGCAGACTCTGGGGCCAGATAACTTAGATTCATATCCTAGCATTCCTGAGTGATCTTGGGCAATATACTCAAACCTCTCTTGAGCCTCATAAATTTTTGTCTAAATATCAAACTGTAACAATATGTAGCAAGCACTATTGCTAACATGTAGACAATTTCTAGGAAGGAAATAAAAAAAGGAACAGGAATTTGCAAACCAGAAAGACAAACAAAACTAGCACCAGCCAGTTATAGCCAGAATAATTCACCCTATGCTGGGGCAGGCGTCATACCCAAAAGTAAAAGCATCTAACTTCTTCAGCAACTGAATAAAAACGACCCCCACCATCTTTTGAGTACTACTACTACTAGTATAACACTGAAGTGCATGGGCTTCTAAAGAGACCTAGGTTTAAGTCTGAGCTCCTCTTAATAACTGTGTGATGTGGCTGTTATGTTGAGGTAAAATTACTTAACCTCTCTGAAGCTTTAAAGATTCCTCCTCTGTAAAATGATAATAATTATATTACTGTTACAGAGTTGTTTTGAGGGTAGGCCTATGTAGGTAAATGCAATGGTAACATTATTACTATTACCAGTCAGGGCCCACACAAAGGTTGATTCCCATAAGTCATCTTATAATTCTTTCAATAATACCATGAGGTAGCTAACATGTCAGTTATACCTAAGGACACCAAGTGGAAACAGAATTTGCCACCCCAAAAGAGACTTTTAGGGGATATTACTTTAAACTCCTTATATTCAAGAAACAGAAGACTCAGGAAAAAACAAAACAAAAAACTTTGGCCTTCCCTGGAACTACCTAAAAGAATTTAGATAGAGGGGAGCAATCATCATAGATAGCTACAGTTTAACATGAATTAAGTGTAATAGGATTCTATGTTATTGGCCCAGCAAATGTTTCTTTACCAAACATTTACTTTTCCAACCTGAAAACTGCTGTCCTACTTTGAAGTCCCAAACCACAACTCCCTCTTCTCCTTAGCTCAAAATCACATATAAGCCTCAATTACTATGGAACCCATGTATGTACATACATAATAAATCCGGTTAATCTGCCTCATGCTAATTTGATTATTAGTCCAGCCAGAAGAATTTAGCAGGTAGAAGGGAAATTATTTCTCCTCCCCTATAACATTTAAGCCAAAAAAGTGAAATAAATTCCCAGGTTCTATTCCGGTCAAGGGCATGTACATTGGTTGTGGGCACGTCCCCGGCGGGGGGTGTGCAGGAAGCAGCTGGTCGATGTTTCTCTCTCATTGATGTTTCTAGCTCTCTATCCCTCTCCCTTCCTATCTGTAAAAAAATAAATAAAATATAAATTAAAAAAAAAAAGAACACTGCTCTTGCATTGGCTGGCCAAGTGGCTCAGTTAGTTGGAGCATCTTATGATGCACCAAAAGGTTTCAGGTTCATTCCCAGTCAGGGCACTATACCTAGGTTTTAGGTTCAATGCCTAGTCCAGATTCGTATGGGAAGCAATCGATTGGTAATTCTCTCTTAACATTCTCTCCCCCTACCTTTTCTCTCTCTAAAAATAGATAAACATGTCCTCAAGTGATTAAAAAAAAGAAAAAGAACTCTGCTCTTTACCTGAAGTCACAATGCCTAGTAAGAAATAGAATCCTTTCTTTTTTAGGGCCCAAATGGTTAATTATTTTATTTATTGCCCTGGTGGAAGTGGCTCAGTTGGTTTGGCCACTGCCTATGCACCAAAAGGTTACCAAAAGATCACTGGCTGGATTCCCATTCAGGGCGTAAGCCTGGATTTCCGTTCAATTCCTGGTTGGGGAGAATGCAGGAGACAGCTGATAGATGTTTTGCTCTCCCCTTCTCTTTTTTCTCTCTATAAAAAATCAATAAAAATTGTTAAACATTATTGGAAGTATTCGTTCAACAAACCATTACCGAGAATGTCTTACATGTCAAACGCTGTACTATAAAGGTGGGGTTACAGTGGTGATTCCTTCCCTTATAAAGTTTTTGTTTTAATAGGAGCCCATCAACAGATAATCAGGAAACTGCTTGAACAATAAAATTGATAATGATGCAGGCTCAGAGTAGGAAGGGGTTGGCTATTTTAGCAAGCATGATCAGAAAGGTGAAGTGGGAAGGGGAGCAGCTTGGTTTGTTCTAGAAATAAGAAAAAGAACCAATGAGAAGCTGCTTACAGAATGAATGTGCCCGAAGATAAGGATCAGATTGACATTTCTTTTTGTTTCCTGCAACCTCAAAGAGCATGGGATACAGTTTCAAGCACATCTGAAGTCCAGGTCGGCCACCTCTACGCAAGCAAAATCACCTAGTATCATTTCCTTATCTCCTTCGTGCGTCAAAATGTAAACATGGTTACCGCTACCAGAGTCCGGTCGGGATCAGGGAGGCACAAATATTTGCTGAACTAGATTAAAGCATCGGTACCCACGTGTCTCCCCATGTGGTGGTTTCCTGTCTGGGCCCCCCATAGAGGTACCCGGAAGCCATCACTTCCATCCCCCAAATGTACAGAAGAGGGCCTCTCCCTCACCCCACCGGGTCATTCTGGAATTGGCCCATGGCCCCTCTCCCCCAGAACAATCGCAAATGGCACAAGTCCTCCAACACGCCACCCCCACCTCCCACATACACACACACTCTCCCACACGCGATCCCAGGACCCTTCAGAGGACGCACCCCCACCGACCTCCCCATTCGGTTCCCCGCCGCCCTGGGGTGACGTCAAGCTGAACCCAGAAAGCTAAAACAGCCCCCCCCACCCCCACCCCACCACCAACCCGGCTCCCGGGCTTCTTCGAGTCACTCTGGGCCACCCTACCCCACGCCCACACTGCAGCCCCGTGCCCCATGGGCTGGCCCCGCCGGCCCGGGCAGGGCGGGCCAAGCCGCTCACCACAACGCTGGGGCTGCGAGTCGCCATAACGGAGCCGGCAAATGCACCGGCGGAGGGCAGGCTGGAGAGGAAGGAACCGGCGCAGCGCGGAAGAGGGGGCGGGGGCTAAGGAGGCGGCGCCTGCAGGAAGCGGGGAGGTTTGCCCAATGCTCGTGTCAACCGTCCTCCTGCAGCCCTGCAAGTCCCGCCCCTGCGCCCGCCCCCCGCCCCGCCCCCGCCCCCAATGAAGCCGGCACGCCCGGCCCGCGCTCCCTGCGCGGCGCTGTCTGCCCCTCTCCGCGCTCACGATCACGGTCACGCAGGGGCCTGGGAATTCTCCTGCGGAACAAGTGGAGCGGGTTCTCTGCACGTGCAACTTTTGACCCGCTTTCCCCCAGGCTCCCGTCTAAATGGCTCCCACGTTTGCAAACCAGCCGCCGCCCGCATGTCTTCCCAGTGGCCCTATAGACCCGATCCAGCTCCACGGGGTCAGTCACCACGTGGTGCCACTTGCCTGGCGTCCTCTTCCCATCACCTTGAACTACGCGGTGGACTCCATTTTCCTTGTTTGCCTGAATGTCACAAAAATGTTTAGCTGGTTATCAGAGTGGAGACCTGAAGCCCTAGAGTCAAGCAGATCAGGGTACAGACAAATGGCTCTGTGACCTTGTGCATATCAGACTCTAAGTTTGTATGTTCTCTCAGTAAAATGAGGTTATTAGTAGGATCCTTGTAAGTAGCAAAGGACATGATATACAGGTGTATATCTATGTATATGTGTGTTATGTATGTATATGTTGTTGAACAATATTTAACTAAGTAAATTTGAATAGCTAATTGCCTTTATTAATTCATGAATCTCCTTCCACCACCATTTATCCCCCATTTACCCTCTTCTATCTTCCCCTACCCCCTTCCCTCTGGTAGTTTTTGTGTGTGGGTTTGGTTTCTTTGTTTAATCCCTTTACTTTTTTCACCCAGCCCCACTACTCACTCCCCTCTGATAGCTGTTAGTCATTTCTCTGTATCTTTGAGTCTGTGTCTGTTTTGTTTATTTTGTTTCTTATTTTTGTTCACAGATTGGTGCACTGATGGGGGTGTGACCTGCAGGATTTGCCACTATGACAGCACACTGACCACCAGGGGAAGCCCCTATGTTGAGCGTCTGCCCCTGGTGGTCAGTGCTCCTCATAGTGACTAGTGACTGGTTGTTCTGGTCATTCCACCATTCAGTCACTGAACTTTATATATATAAAGTTCAGTGACTTTATATATATATATATATATATATATATATATATATATATATATATATATATATATATATTTCAGATGATGTACCCCTGAAACCTACATAATTTTAGTAACCAATCACAAATAATCCCAATAAATTCAATTATAAAGCAAAGTATCAAAAATGGAACTCCCACTTGACCCAGTGACCCCACTTCTAGGCATATATCCCAAGAAACTAGAAATACCAATGAGAAAGGACATATGCACCCCCATATTCATAGCAGCATAGTTATGAGAACTGTAAAAATCATTTATGTAAAGCACCTAGCATAGTATTTGCCACATAGTAGATGCTCCAGAAATAGTAGCAGTTATTAATTTTAGCATATATGAATGTGCTATTTAGTTTCTACTTCCTTAGTTTCTCTACCTTCCTTATGTATCATTAAGAAGCAAAAACTCATAATGGAAATGTTACATTTGGGCTTTAAACTGAGATCTGAGTTCATCACTAACTAGAGTTATGACTTTGGACAATATCCTTAACCTCAGCGTGTCTCAGTTTCCTCATATGTCAAATGCAGATAATGTCTCCATCACAGGTGAGGCTTGAATGAAAGAATGCAAAAGTGCCTAGCATGGTGCTTGCTTCAATAAATGATAATACCATTGTTATGCATTCCACATTTTGGCCTTAAACAATTCTTTATCTTTCTGGCCTCTAAGACTTCTTACCCATTCCCTTGTTGATGGATATATTGGTAGTTTCTAGGTTTGGGTTATTATAAATATTGCTACTATAAACATGTTTTACATATCTTTCAGTGAACATATGAATGCATTTATATTTGGAATAAACTTTGAAGTTCATATCAGCACTTTTTTATTATCCTTTTAAGAAACATGTGTTCCACTGGGAAGTTGATTCAGAGAACTTCCAGTTATACATTCAGCCTTTGACACATGCAGACTCAGCTACCCACATTTGTTACTAAATTAGGCACCCAGCACTTCAGAACCTTGCTTCTAGCTTGCAGTTTTTTTCTGTTAACCCCTGTGGGACCACATATTTTTGTATTTTTTTAAAATGAATTTTATTGATTTTTTACAGAGAGGAAGGGAGAGGGATAGTTAGAAAGATTGATGAGAGAGAAACAGATCAGCTGCCTCCTACACACCTCCTACTGGGCCCGCGCTCCCTGTATTTCATATGTCTTTTCCCCCATTGACCTCTCCCCAGCCATCCCCAACACCCATAACCAAAGTACATGCCCTTGACCAGAATCAAACCTGGGACCTTTCAGTCTGCAGGCTGACGCTCTATCTATTGAGCCAAACCAGTTAGGGCTATTTGAAATTAAAGAGTGATAGTCCTGTGACTGTAAGTAAAGACAGAATACTATTTTCAATCTTGTCACATTGTATGACAACTTGGGGTTTTTAAAAAAAAACAAAACCCTATATATTTTATTGATTTTTTACAGAGAGAAAGAGAGAGGGGTAGAGAGCTAGAAACATCAATGAGAGAGAATCATCGACCAGCTGCCTCCTGCACACCCTCTATCGGGGATGTGCCCGCAACCAATGTACATGCCCTTGACCGGAATCGAACCTGGGAGCCTTCAGTCCACAGGCTGACGCTCTATCCACTGAGCCAAACCGGTTTCAGCTAACTTGGGGCTTTTACTTGTGTCTAAAATTTAAAACAGCAAAGAGAGTGCAACCTGCAAGACATAGTACTTTTTTCTTGTTGTTAATCTTCACCCAAGGATGATTTTTCATTGACTTTTAGAAAGAGTGAAGGGGAGGGGGAAAGACAGAGACTGAGAAACATCAATGTGAGAGAGGCACATCAGTTGGTTGCCTCCCACAGGCAGCCAGACCAGGGCCAGGATCGAACCTCCAACCCAGGTACAGGCCCTTGACTAGGAATCGAACCTAAGACACTTCAGTGCATGGCTAATGCTCTAACCACTGAAAAACACTGGCCAGGGCAAGATATAATACCTTTGTTTGGTAAGTAAAAATCTGGTTCATATATGAAATATTTTATTAATATATAGAGTCCTGGTGCACGACATTCATACATTGGGAGATGGCGAGGAGGGGACAAATGCTAAATTGGCCAAGATGCTAGGAAAACAGACATAAATTTGGACTGGCCTGAGCCAAGTGGAATGGAATGTATAATCCCCATACAATGGTATAGGACCAGGTGGGGTGTTTTCCAATGCTGCTGATGGCAGTACTTAAACTGTGGTATCTCAATTTCTGATCACAATTTTCCTCATCTCCAGTTCTCTTTGTTCACCCTGCCTAAGATAATCATGCTTCAGACTTATGAGAAACCTCCAATTCTCCAGTCTACAACCCCGCTCCTGGCTTTCCTTACTTCCTTGTTCAGTTTGTATCCCACTCTAACAACTCTCTCACCAATTTGGGAAGACCTTTGGACCCATCTAATCGTGCTCAGCCACTCTGGCTCATATCCATAGCCTGTTTTTTTAATCCCTACCAAGCTACAAAGTACTGCTGGAGAAAAGTGCCACAGCTATGGAGATTGGTTCCTCTGTAGACTCACAGACCTAAAATACACCTAAAATACACATCTAGCCGGGACCGGTTTGGCTCAATGGATAGAGCGTCGGCTTGGGGACTGAAGGGTCCCGGGTTCGATTCCGGTCAAGGGCATGTATCTTGGTTGCGGGCATATCCCCAGTAGGGGGTGTGTGAGAGGCAGCTGATCGATGACTCTCTCATCGATGTTTCTAACTCTCTATCTCTCTCCCTTCCTCTCTGTATAAAATCAATAAAATATATTTAAAAATAAAATAAAATACACATCTATAATCCTTTACAAGTCCTTGGTAAATTTCTCCTTATTCCCTTCAGGAATGTTCTGAATATCTGTCCCCATTCAACTCCATCATTCTCACTCTAGAAAGACTCAAGTCACTAACCCTTGAAGAGGTGGAAGGAATAAGGCATGAACCACATCAATATCATTCTGTCCACATCTAAAGTATCTCCAGGCCCAGATACTTGCTGTATCCATTTTATCACTCCAGTTTTCTCCTCAACAAACTCATTGCAGCCTATCTTCTGTACCCATCATTATACCAAACAGCTCTAACAAAGAACACCATTGTTTGGTATATTGGCAAATCCAATGTACACTGTTTATGGCCTTACATAACTGTTCTTTGTATTGCATTTGGTACTAATTATCACTTTGTTCTCAAATGTATTTCTTTGGCTTCTGGACACCAGTCTCCTAATTCTTCTACTTCCATATTTCTTCTTGCTTTCTCTCTCAAAGTTTACAGTTACCCTTCCCTGGTATAAAAATTCAATAAAACCACATCCAATATAATGATCAAATTCAGGCAATTAACACTGATGTAACAGTATTAAATAATTTAGGACCCTTATTTAAATCTCACCAATAATCTCATTAATGTTATTTCCCTGGACCAGGATCAAATCCAGGAGTACATGTTGCATTCCCTTACATCTCCTTCATTCTGGAACACTTTCTCAGTCTTTGTCTGTCATGACCTTGATATTTTTGAAGGGCACTGCCAGTTTGTTCTGTAGAATTTTCCTGAATTTTTGTGTCTTGGGTCATATTTCAGGCATTCCATCTTGGGCCATAAATACAACAGTAGTGATGGGGTGTCCTTCACAGAGCTTAATATCAGGAGACACATGCTATTGATTTGCCTCACTATTGATATTAATTTGGATTAATTAAGGCAGAGTCTGCCATGCTTCTTCACTACAAAGATAAGATTTTTCCCTTTGTAATTAGT